ACCTTCAGACTCACTGCCCAGGGTACCTCAAGTCTCTGCTCCCCACTCTCTGGCACAGTGCTCCTCAGCTTGCCCAGCTGTGGTTCAGCCAGGCCTAGGTGAGGTGTGGGACCTTGCCCCAGAGGGTGCAGTTGGTGAGCCCTGGCACATCCATGTGAAGCTAATTCTGCCTCATCACACAGTGCATGAGCTGTGGAGCGAGGGCTGCCTCCACCCAGACATCAAAAGATGTTGTAACCGCCCAATGGGTTCACCTTGCCTGCTGCCTAGATAGAGCTGATTTATAAAGACAGGGGCTTTGCAATGGAGAAAGAGTAATTCCTGCAGAGCCAGCTGTGTGGGAGACCGGAGTTTTATTATTGCTCAAATCAGTTTCCCTGAGCATTTGGGGATCAGAGTTTTTAAGGATAATTTGGCAGGTAGGGGCTTGGGAAATGGGTCGTACTGATTGGTCAGGTTGGAGATGGAATCACAGGGGGTTGAAGAATTCTTGCTGTTTTCTGTTCCTGCGTGGGATGGCAGAACTGGTTGAGCAGATTACTGCGGGTCTGGCTGGTGTCAGGTCATCCATCTGGTGCAGGGTCTACAAAATATCTCAAGCACTGATGTTAGGTTTTACAATAGTGATGTTATTCTTGGAGCAATTTATGGGGTTCAGACTCGTGGAACCAGAGGCTGCGTGACTCCTAAACTGTAATTTCTAATCTTGTAGCTAATGTATTAGTCCCCAGGCAAAATGGGGGTCTTTGGGGGAAAGGGTTCTAACCATGAATCGAATTCCTTCCCAAAGTTAGTTCGGCCTAAGCCCAGGAATGAGCAAGGCCAGCTTAAAGGTTGGAAGCAAGATGGAGTCCGTTAGGTATGATTTCTTTCACTATCATAATTTCCTCTGTTATAATTTTGCAAAGGCGGTTTCAATGTTTCGGACAGCCGTGGGGTCCAGGCGGAGACCTGCTGCAGGGCTGGGGACACCCAAGAGAGCCCCCAGAAGGGCAATTCCCAGCAAAGCTGTGGGGTGGGGCTGCCAGGAGCCTTGGGTGCCCAAACCCCACCCCCATGTGTGCAGAAGGTGGCGCATGAAATCGATTGAATATTTCTACCCTGTTGGGTGTTAGACTCACTTAAACCTGGTATCTCTGTCTTCTTGCCTGTGTGCCCATTTTGTAATAGAACTGTTGGTGCTGTACCCATCCCACAGTGTGTTTTGTAGGCTCATAACTTGTTTGATTTCACAGATTCACAGCTGGAGGAGAATTTGCCTCAGGACAAATCATGCCTTGAGTCTCAGCCATATGTTTAGATATGTATCCATATGTTTGGACTAAGACTTCAAAGTTGATGCTGGAACAAGTTAAGACTTTTTGGGAATATTGAGATGCAATGAATGTATTTAGTACGTGATAAGAACATGAATTTTGGAAGCACAGTAACAGGATGCTATGGTTTGAATATTTCGCCTCCAAAATTCAACTGTTGTCAATGTAATAGTGTCAGGAAGTGGGGCCTTTGAGAGATGATGAGGCCACGAGGGCTCCTCCGCAGCATGAGTGGGATTTAGGCCCTTAAAAAAGAGGCTTCATGCTAGGTGTGGTGGCTCACGCCTATAATCCCAGCACTTTGGGAGGTCAGGAGTTTGAGACAAGCCTGACCTGACATGGTGAAACCCCATCACTACTAAAAATATAAAAATTATCCAGGCATGGTGGCACACACCTGTAATCCCAGCTACTAAGGAGGCTGAGGCAGAAGAATTGCTTGAACCCAGGAGGTGGAGGTTGCAGTGAGCACCACTGCATTCTAGCTGCTTGGGGAACAAGAGCGAAACTCCATCTCCAAAAAAAAGTAAATAAATAAAAAAGAGGCTTCATGCAGCATTCGGTTATCCTGTCCTCCACCTTCTGTGCTGCGAGGACACAGCCTTCCTTCCTTCTGGAAGATGCAGCAACAAGGAGTCATCTTGGAAACAGAAAGAAGTGCTCCCGGACACCAGACCTACCAGTGCTTCCATCTTGGGCTTCCCAGCCTCCAGAACTGTGAGAAAATAAATTTTTGTTCTTTATGAATTAGCCAGACTGTGATATCGCGTTAAAACAGCACCAATAAGTAGAGACAAACATTTTTTGACTTTTATTCCATAAATCTCGTCCTTTTGCGCTTACTGAGATTACGTCTGTGCTTAGACTCAGGTCCTCCTTACCCATGTTTTTAGCGTGTCATCGTTTTAACTTCCTTTTCTTCTTGCCTTGCCCTGCATTCACCGTACTTCCTAAATTTCTTTTTTTCTTTATTGGTTTGGAATTTATATGTTGTAATTATATTGTGGTAGTGGTTTTTCTTTACATTTTCAAACATTAAATGTTTAACTGTGTATACACTTTTCTAGTAAAATCCAAGTGCTTCCGCATAGGTCTCTATTTCTTCACATCCATTGTCCACAAACTCCTGAAAATTAGAGGTTCCCTGTAAATGTGCTAATCAGAAGTTTATTTCCCCTTATTTGAAAAGGAAAATATTTGTAATGCATTACACATCAATCCAAAATGCTCAGCCAATTTCCTAGAGTGTTTCTAAAACAGAAAAATGCCTAGATAAAGCTAAAAACCTAGCACATTAGGATATAAAATGTTTAAGTATCAGTTCCAGATCACCAACACTTATTACGGTTGTTAACAAACCATTGCTTTGTAGGCAGCAATATATCCAGTTTACAAGCTGTTCTGCAAACACTATCTTTGCCACACAGCATGGCAAATAAAGATGAACATAGATAACCTTTTAGAAAGATGCAGACTGCCATGGACTGAATGTTTATGACCCTCTAAAATTCAGATGTGAACCCCTAACCCCAATGCCATGGTGTTTGCAAGTGGGGTCTTTGAGAAGCAACAGGTCATGAGGTGGATGGACAGCCTCATAAGAAGAGACGGGAGAGTGAGGCAGCTGTCTTTTCCCCCATGTGAGGGGTGCATAGGGATGCTGGTGGTCTGCCACCAGGAAGGGGCCTCACCAGAACCGCGCTGGTACCTTGATCTCAGACTTCTCAGCCTCCGTAACTGTCGGATATGAAAGTTTGTTGTTTAAGCTGCTCAGCCTGCGGCACTTGGTTGTAGCAGCCCAATCTAAGACACAGCCTAAAATGATTAAACAAACAAACAAACAAACAAACCCAAAAAACTCAAAGCAAATTCCTGTAATGAACTAGGGCTCTCCAAGTAGAGAAGGGAGATTTGTAGCTCAGGGTCAGCTGAGAAGGGAGAGGGCTGAAAAGAGGAGGCAGTTTCAGTGTGTCCTGGTGGTGGAGGAGGATGAGGGGAAGACCTGGGTGAGAGAGGCTTGTTTTGGGCATTTGTCAGACTCTCAAGGCCTGGGAACAGCTCTCCATGGTTTGGTGGCTGCTCTGAGGAGGGGGTTTGACAAAGCCTCAGAGGAGCTGCTTAATACTCTTGGGCGAAACACTTGCAAAGATGCGGTCTTCCTCTTTGTCTTGATGTTCACTTTCATAAATTCATTTACGTAAGGTTTTAGGAGACACTGGGCTGTTTCTTTTCTTCCCCCAGTTGAAGCTTCTCAGCCTATCCCAGGCACATTCAGAGCTAATATTTAACCCAGCACTGGTGTGGCCTCATGGAATGATGCATCTCTTGGGTCCAGCAACCTTCCAGATGCACTTTCCTGCCCTGAAATTCATGAGCTTTTCAAAATATTTACACATGCAATTCTGCCAATATTATTTGGAATAGAACCTGAGACTTCCTACATCTTGTTTTGTTTAAAATGTTGAACTGAGTCTTTGGGACATAGATATAAATGTTTTCTACATAAATAGTTGGAAATATTGCATTGAAAGATACTTAAGCTCTAGGAAGTTAGTGTATTGAACTCAAGAAGGGCTCTCCTGGGGAAGTGTTATGGAAGAAACTTGTTGCAGGGGATGCACCTATTTCTGTCTTCTCCTGCAACATGACATGGACCACAGCAAAATATACCAACCACAGACCGCCCTGCTATCACCCTCTCTGCTCCTGTGATCTGCAACTGAGTTTTGCTTAAAAACACCTCAAATCTGCTATTATTATTTCACAAGCCAATATTTAATTACATTCACCAATCTATAAATCGTCAATACCTAAGATTACTCTTATATGTGATATGCTGTGAGCCCTCCCTGAGTGTAGTTTTCCTCTTGAATCCTTTCATAGTTCTTACAGCAAGCATCTTTGGTAGCAAGTAAGTTCTTTTAGCCCTTGCAAGTTTTTATTTTCTTTTTTTTTCCTGAATAATTGTTTATACTGATATAAATTGTAAGTTAATAATTATTTTTTCCTCAGTCTTTTGAAGGTATTATTTCATTTCTTCTGATCCCTATCATTGTTCATAAATCCACCATCCCTCTAAGTCATGATCCTTTATGGGAATCTGTCTTTTCTGTCTGCTAGCTTTTAACATTTTCTCTTTTTATTCTGCTATTGTATAGTTTCACTACTGTGTCTACATGTGGGGTTGGTTGGTTTGTTTATTCTGCTCTGTACTTTTTCTGAGATTTTGAACTGAGGACTCCTGTGGACGTGGTTTGGCTGTGTCCCCACCCAGAGCTGATCTTGAACTGTAGCTCCCACAGTTCCCATGTGTTGTGGGAGGGAACCCAGTGGGAGGTAATTGAATCGTGGGGCTGCGTCTTTCCCATGCTATTCTCATGATAGTGAATAAGTCTTATGAGATCTGATGATTTTACAAAGGGGAGCTTCCCTGCACGAGCTCTCTTCTCTTGTTTGTGCCTTTTACCTTCTGCCGTGATGGTGGGGCCTCCCCAGCCACGTGGAACTGTGAGTTCATTAAACCTCTTCCTTTTGTAAATTGCCCAGTTTGGGGTATGTCTTTATTGGCAGGCATGAAAACAGACTAATAAACCCGTTTCTCTCTGAATCTGGAAAAATTAAATTACCAGCTTTTCATATAGTGCTGCTCTATTGTCTACTTCTGAAATTGTTACTTCACAGATACAGGACCTCTTTGCCTATCCTCCACCTCTGCCCTGCATGTGAGTGTGTATATAGATGTGGAGATACACACACTTCAAGTGCCCAAGAAGTCATCAATGGAAGGAGGAACCATTATTTTCATACGTCACTAAGAAGTAAAGGTGCCACAGACAAGGAGTGTAGTGGAAGACCCCTACGTAAGGTGAGGACCCCAGTGGGCTGCAACCTTGCTATAAGAAGAAGTGAGAAATAAACCCATTGTGAGGAAAAGGCAGCAAAAAAACCAAACCAAAACAAAGAAACAAACAAAAACCCCCCCAAAAAAACCCTGACAGTCTCTCCTGAGATTTTAACCTGTAAACTTTACCCATTCAGATTTACACTTTGAATTCAAATCTTAATTATAGATTTTAATTTTAAATGATCTTAGGTCAGTAATACTTCCAAGTGACTGGTGGGGCAAATGAAGATTCTCTTTGGAAGGTGTCGCCAATCTAGACCAAGAGTGGTTGTAAGTCACCTTCAGTTGTAAGGTGTGCTCCAATTTCAGATATATTAAAATGAGAACAAGGCATATAGAATCAGTGAAGTGTAGTGTACATGTGTGCATGCATGCACACATCCATATCTATCTACAGAAGTCAGTTTGTCTCTCTATGCAATATTCTATGTGAGTTCCTCAATATTATGTCCAAGTCACTAATTCTCTCTTTAACCCTGTTCTGCCTAAAATGCGTTCCTTTTATCACATATTTTCTTTGGCTATATTTTTAATTTCTTAGTTTTCCAATTGTTTATTTTAAAGAAACTTTTTTTTGTTATTTCTTATGTGCCTGTTTTATTTTTCTATAGTTTCTTGTGCTTTTAAAAGCACACTCTCCCTCCTTCACTGCTATTATCTCTTTAAACACCCTAAACATAATTATTTTAGTCGTAGACAGATTGTCCCCATGCAATTAATTTTGTCTGGAGTTATTTCATGTTCTGAGTATTGATTCTGTTGTTTATTGATCTGAGCACTGGAACACTCCTATGTTGTGGGAGAGGGGAGTGTTTGGCTTTCCTTTCCCCACACCATTTTTCTCCTTCCCTGTCCCTCCTTCTAGAGCAGCTTTGCTGTTGTCCCCAGTGACTCCCAGGGCTGCCAGTGCTGCACCAGGTACGACATGGCTCTCCTTTCCTCACGGCATCTCTCATTGCTTTCTCCTGTCATCTTCTCAGTGGGTCCCACAGACTCTTCTTTCTCTATGTCATTTTTCTCACTTAAAAAAAATTGTTCAACAAATAACTTTGAGCACTTACAAAGTACCAGACTCTGCCCCATCTTTGCCTCCTTCTTTCAATGATCCGTTTTATGGAACTTGATCGTATTCTATAATGTGCTGTTTATACTAGTTTTAATGAGTTCTGGTTTCATTTACAAGGAGGTGAGTGTCATGGTACATATTTATCTGAAGAATTCTTCCTGCTCCTCTGACCATAAATGGATGACTTTATGTTCCAGGAATCACTGGCCTTCGGTGATGCTACCATTCCTCACTTTCGTGTATCACTCTGCAATCTACAAATGTTTCTTATCCATCAACTCAGTTGACCAGTTGTGATATGAAATGGATGGGACAGATATTGGTCCTGTTTTACCAGGGTTGTGCCTGCAGCTCAGAGAGGTTAGATCTGCTCCGGGGCCACCAGCAAGTAAGAAGCAGAGCAGAACCACACCTGAAACCAAATCTCATGAGTTAGACACCTGAGCTAGATTCTTCAGATGGGCCTTAGAATATGTTCTGGGCAAGGGTCACATCTTATGTCCTGGTATCACTCATTGTACCTAGCACACTGCTGGGCATGGCATGTATTTACATCATCAAAACCCCATTGAGATACCATCTCATGCCAGTTGGAATGGCAATCATTAAAAAATCTGGAGACAACAGATGCTGGAGAAGATGTGGAGAAATAGAAACACTTTTACACTATTGGTGGGAGTATAAATTGGTTCAAACATTGTGGAAGACAGTGTGGCAATTCCTCAAGGATCTGGAAATAGAAATTCCATTTGACCCAGCAATCCCATTACTGGGTATATACCCAAAGGATTATAAATCATTCTATTATAAAGATATATGCACACGTATGCTCATCACAGTACTGTTTACAATAGCAGAGACTTGGAACCAACCCAAAGGTCCATCAAAGATAGACTGGATAAAGAAAATGTGGCACATACATACCATGGAATACTATGCAGCCATAAAAAGGATGAGTTCATGTCCTTTGTAGGGACATGGAAGAATCTGGAAACCATCATTCTCAGCAAACTGACACAAGAACAGAAAACCAAACACCACATGTTCTCACTTATAAGTGGGTGTTGAACAATGAGAATACATGGACACAGGCAGGGGGAACATCACACACCAGGGCCTGTCGGGGGGTGGAGGGGCTAGGGCAGGGCTAGCAGGGAGTGGGGGGGTTGGGGAGGGATAACATTAGGAGAAATACCAAATGTAGATGATGGGGGGATGGATGCAGCAAACCATCATGGCATGTTTATACCTATGTAACAATTCTGTATAATCTGCACATGTACCCCAGAACTTAAAGGATAATCAAAAAAGAAAATTAAAAAAATAAAGTAAATAAAATATTTGATGAAGGCTGTCTGGGAGAAAGCTGATTTTGTATATTTCATGCAGGGGCTGAGACTGAACTCATTCTGCTGGGACCCTGCCTGCTCTGCTGTCCCCCGAGGGCACAGCCCACAGGACCTACAGAAGGGTCTGCACCTGCAGGAGCGTGTGAGGGAGACCTTCTCTAACAAAGGACAATTTATGACCCAGCTGCAGTGATGGGAATTCAAGCCCACTCAACATGTTCACATTCAAAAAATCAGTAGGTATCGATTCGCATTACCGAGTTGACTGAAGGCAGAGGCAGTATTTATTTGGAGTTGTGTTCCTGATGTAATAATACTTAGATTACAATATTTTCTGTAATTACTTAGAAATGACAATGCATATTGGGTTAGTGATAAATCAGAGGCAATTTAAATAATGTCATCAGGAATGGAGGAGCATAAATTCTGTGGATTTCATCTCAGCCAATGGGCCATTGCTTTGAAGGATGAACAGTGTCTCTGACAGCCACTTTTGCCCAGGGGAGGTGGGGTGCTGAGGGCCCTGGCTCTGACCCTGGCCTATGACGGCCTGTCATCTCAGCCCGGCAGCTCTGGGTGCAGCCGTGCAGCTCTGGCAGGAACCTGCAGAACAGATCATGCCGAGGGTGCAGTGGAGGCAGGACTACAGGATGGGCGTGACCCCGGGCAGCAGCAGGTGAGAGAGGAGAGAACTCAGCCAGGTGGCCTGTGACTCAGGAAGGTGCAAGCACCTGAACCTCCCTGCTGGTGCCCAGGGTCCAAGTGTGCCTCCCCTCTGCTCCCTCCCTGCTGCAGCCTCTGGGTAATCTGCACACTTTTGCAGGGTCCTTGGAGCTGCCTCTTACAAGAGTTCAGTTTTTTCAAAAGCTGGTAGGGCACAGAGGTGCCCGGGGTAAGTTCTGGAGCACTATGGGTACCTTGCTCTTTAGGGCTGAGGTAATGCTGGCTGAGTGGTCTGCTTCCGGTTGCTGGAAGCTGGAAGCAGGGTATGGAAGGAGGCTGTGGTCATTGAGCCCCAATCATGTGACAGGCACTCCACTGGCTGCCCTCTTTGTGGTGTTAATTGAAATCATCTGCTCACAAGTAACAGAAACAGACATGGGTCCTTGGGTCAGCATAAAGGGGAAGTAGGAGGCAGTTATGGGGTTTGTGGAGGGTCCTGTGTAGCAAGGGCAGGAATGTGGATGGAACCTTAGGAAGGGATGGGATCAGAATCAGAAGTGATCAAAGTCTCTCTCCATCTTCCCGCTCTTCCTGCACACCAGGTTCTATTCCTCCTCCTACTGAGGCTGTGTTATCCCTGTTCCCCTGTGACTCCTATGGCTTCTGATACTACAGATATAAGTCCAGCCTCTGGGAGACAGGAACCTGCTCCTGGACTCAATTCCACATCCTTAGGGAAGGGTGAGGGGCCCACCCGGCTCTACTGGAGCGGTGTCAGGTACAAAATGGTGACCTTTCTCCTGTCAGTGTGGACCAGGTGCCAGCTAAGAGGGTTCCCGTCACTGTGTTATCCTGAGCCTGTAAGGTGGTTTCCTTATGGGTGTTACTGGCGAAGACCAGAGAGCTGATTGCCATGCCCAAGACGAGAGCAGTAATGCCCCAGCGAGGGTTAACTCATGGCCACTGGGTCCAGGGAGTGTGCTCTATCAGCCATGCTCTTCCTCTTCGTATTGTTGCTCTGTGTTCTCGTTGGAGAAAATGGCACAAGCAAAGAGCTACAGGCAGGCAGGCTGGCACAGCAGGAAGTGTTAGGAAGTGTGTGGATGGCATGCTGGTTGGGTAGGGAAGAAGCTTGGTCGTGCTGGTGGCACTATGAGAGTGAAGATGAAGGCGTACAGCATGGTAATAGGACGAGATGGGCAGAGGGAGCTGTGTGGGATGGGATGGGATAGCTGTGGAAAGGGGAATAAGATGGAAATGAAGACAAGGACCCACAGCAAGAACCCAGCACTCAATAATGAACAAGTGTGTTAGTCCATTCTCACACTGCTATGAAGAACTATCTGAGACTGGGTGATTTATGAAGACTGGAGGTTGTATTGACCCACAGTTCTGCAGGCTTAACAGGAAGCATGATTGGGAGGCCTCAGGAAACTTATAACAGTGGTGGAAGGCAAACGGGAAGCAAGGACCTTCTTCACAAAGTGGCAGGACAGGCAGAGGACACAAGGAGGGAAGTGCCACACACCTTTAAACCATTGGATCTCATGAGAACTCACTATCGCGGGAACAGCATGGGAACTCCACCCCTGTGATCCAAGCCCCTCCCACGAAGTCTCACCCCCAACATTAAGGATTACAATTCAGCATGAGATTTGCGTGGGGACACAGAGCCAAACCATATCAACAAATGGGAATTTATTTTATTTTTGCATCAAAGAGCCCAGATTGGCTTCCTTTGGCTGTCCCGCTGGCCAAGGCTCTGTGTGGCTTCCCTCATAAATGCTCCCAGAACTTGGAATTTTTACCCCAGATGGTTAAAGACCGAGTCTGCAAGACACGAATCATTCAGATGAGTGTTTTCCTCTTTTCTCCGTGGCTCTGAAGGGCTGAGAAGCATCTGGAGATCTCACAGAACTCTCAATTTCCTACCACAGCCCTGGCCTCCCCACTCAACGTGGTCCCCCTCCCAAAGGAGCAAAAAGCAGAAAGCTCAAGGACCCTCAGAATCAAGATAAATTTTCTAAGTAACTTGAGAATTTTTTTCCCTCCGGTGCTTGAATTTTCTAAGCTCTACTTGATATTTTTAAAATGTTAAAATGACTCTGATTTTGAATCAAACTCATTGGTCTTGCAAAGAAAATAACTGTGCTACAAATGGAGAATAAACAAGTTGGGAAGGGAGAAGGAGAAGATCCTCAGCTCTTTCTGGGACCCAGACCTCTCCACCCCATGCACACTCCCCGCTCAGGTGCATCTGGAGACCCAGGGTCAAATGACAGCTCTGCCTTTTGAGACTGATCTTTGGTGACTGACCTCACATTTCTGGGTCTTGGTTTTCTCAATAAAAATAAAAAAGAGAAATAAACAGGTCTACATGGAAGAATGGTTGGAACGAAATGGAATAACAGATGCAAAATAGCTGTGCACCTGACAGTCCTCTATAAATGTCCTCCCCTGATTCATGCCACTGATGATTCTAGTTGCCAGTCACTCTTCTCTCAACCTACTGTGTGCAAACCCCCTGAGCTTCATGCCAGAGGAGGGAACTGGATTGAAATAGTCTACATGCAAATTTTATAATAGTTTTATTTCAGGCCTGTTCTCCCAGAAACAAAATCACTATTCAGTACCTGGGACATTATAATACATTTTCATTAAAATAATACATTTTAATGAAAACTTAATTAATTTGAAATGATTGCTTTCTTGTAAGTAGAATGAAAAAAATCATTAAAAATTGGCAAATGGAAGAGAAAAATGTTTTTATGTAAGTACATAGGAGAGGCGTATTGAGGCCATGAACATTTCTAAAATAAGAGAACACAAAGCTTGTAAAGTTATTTTCTTAATTTGGAAGGCTGTTTCAACTTGTTTCCAAATGAAAATAAAAGAGTCAAGTTCTGCAGCTTGTGCAAATGTATGGGGAAATCAATGTAGCCTTTCTTCTTTTTTATTTTTTTGAGAGAGCGTCTCACTCTGTTGCTCAGGCTGGAGTGCAGTGGTGTAATCTCTGCTCAATGCAACCTCCGCCTCCCAGGTTCAAGCAGTGCCCCTGCCTCAGCCTCCCGAATAGCCGGGATTACACGCGTATGGCACCACAACCAGCTAATTTTTGTATTTTTAGTAGAGACAGGGTTTCATCATGTTGGCCAGGCTGGTCTTGGACTCCAGGCCTCAAGTGATCTACCTACCTTGCCCTCCCAAACTGCTGGGATTACAGGTGTGAGCTGCTGTGTTCAACCTTCTTCTTCTTTTTTCTTCTTTTCTTTCTTTCTTTCTTCTTTTTTAAAAAAAACAAAAAAAAAACAGGAAACCCCCTGTTTTCCAGTAAAATTGAACTACATGGGTTCATTGAGGGGTTCAAGTGTTTATTGTTTGGCTTAGTTTTGCAGAAAGACACAAAGCTCAGAACCAGAAGTGCAACTGAGCTACAACATCCAGTGAGACTGCCTCCCAGACACACCACTGCAACCAGTGAACTGCACTGTTTAGACTCTGCCTTCAGGGCCAGGGTGGGCTGATGAGACCGGCCTCTTGATGAGGTGAGAGGTGACCAAGGAGTGAGAGCGGCTGCGTTTGAGCCCTGCCTCTGCCGTCTGGAACTCTCTCATCTTGAGCAGGTCCAGCCGCAGTGTGGGCCTCAGATCTCCCATCCTGGAAACGAGAGAATTCAAATCCAGCTCTGACTCTGCAGCCCCTGCACTGCATGGCAACCACCAGGCTTGAAGAAGGAGTGAATGATGCTTGAAGGTCACCTCCTCTAAACCACACTCCTCTCCCATCACACCCTTGTTGTCCTTTAAATGGTTCCCATTCGTCTTTCTTCTCTTGAGCCCAGGGGTGTGCTGGTGAATGTTTAACAGCCACTCCATGAAAAAATAAAACGATATTGATGGGTGGCATTTGCTGATTTCTTTGCTGTAAACACCCCCACCTTGGGCCATTTCAAGCAGCCACAGCGATGCTGCTGAATGCTGATCCCGGAGGAGTCAGTGCAAGCTGGTTCCAGCACAGAGCTGTCTAGGTTGCTCCAGGATGGGGGCATTCGCTCCCTGCTGGCTAAATGTGAAATCGGATCAGATCGTTATCAGCTAATATTCACTGTGTGCTTATTGTGAGCCAGGCTGTCTGCTCAGAACTTTGCATAGGTTGTCTTGCTGAATCATCGATGCAGTCCTAGGATTCAATCCCTGGGCACAGATGGTTATGTAACCTGCCCAAGGCCTTGCAGCCACAAGGAGGAGGAGTTGAATGGGCCATGGCGCCTGAGTTCATAGCCCGTGCTTTTAGGCAATACGCTATCCTAGATTTCAGCCTCGCTGCTCTCTGCTCTCGAAAGCCTGCAGAAAAATGCCTTGAGAGATAGAGCAAGTCCATTTGCACATGGTTCCTTTATTTTGAGCTTACTTATCAAATCTGATGATCATCATAAATCTCTTTATTCCACCTGGCTTATTAATACACATATTGGTAAACTTACTTCAGTGATATTTATCTTTCCTCTAAGAACTCACAGATTTCTACCACTTAGTATGCTGTGTTTTGTTTTTGGGTAGGACTCATTAACAGG